TCTTTGCCTTGAGAAAAGGGAACTGGGATGCCTCTGGGCCTGGTTGCTTCCGGGGATGGGAGACATCCGGGAGGGGTAGTGGGGCCACAGGGTTGGTTTTCGGTTTTCCTGGAGAAGGAGAGCCTGGAGGGGTGGACACCAAGAGGAAAATGGGAATACCCCTGGCCGCTCAGGGCCTTCCCTGTCGCTGAAGCCCCTCCTGCCTCCGCTGCCCGGGCCTGTACCGACCCACCCTGCAGATCCAGTGGGCCATGGAAAATGGGATTCTACTCACGAACCTGGCCTGGAGGGTGGTGCGGGGGTGGTGGCGGGTTACCGGGAAGGGGCTCGAGTGCGTGCTGTTCAGCGCCTGACGGTAGCTTGTAGGGAGACTTGATTTCCAGAAGTCTTTAGGGACTAAGAGGCCACCGCCAGAGTCGAGAGTCGCGGAATCCGATTTCAACCTGATCATTTCTAGAGGACTGGCCACGTTCTTTTATCATATTGCTATTGCCTTGTACCATATATGGCTTGAAATCGGTAGGTCATTGGCTAGAATTTGAGAATTCTGCGACGTCCGTAGGTTCTACAGAACTAAGAATGTAACTGTCCTTAACAGAGGGACTGTCCTTCAGTAAGGAATTCCACTTTGTCCAAGAAAAAGGAAGGACTGGCGTTACAGTAGACACCTCATCACAGCACAGCAGTAGAGGGGAGGAAGGGTGCCTCAGCATTAATATTCTGCGATTTTAAAGGACTTCCGGAAATGGGGGGGGCGTCTCAATAATGGATTTGGTCAAGTCATTTCTTTGTGTGTTTTTCTATTCCTCAAGCTTAAGCAAAACCTTGGGCTCACCGAAAAATTATTTTTCTTCACCCTTTTTCAGTTAGCAGTGCCTTCAGGTTTCATTTCCTCCTTCCTCTGCGTATTGATCCACAATGCAAATTTCTGGCCTTCATCCTCACACCAAGATTCCTGCAGCCAGCCAGAGCTCTCCCAGACTTTGTATTCTTAACTCGAGTTCACCTTTTTATCCTAGAATTCAAAGGACCTATCAACTGTGATCATATCTTAACCTAGTCAGTCTCATACATTTTTTTCAAACTGTGCCTTTGCCCTTTCCCCGAGACCCAACTCTGTGCCTTTATCATGATGTTTTTCCCTTCTATTTGCTAATCCCAATAGAGTAATTTCTTCAAGTCTCTTATCCGTTACCTGAGGAACCTGCCCATAAAAACCTGTATTCTACTTTAAATTCCCTGGCCACTCAATGTTGTATAACCTTATGTACAGAATGAGATAATGTTTGCAAAAGTCGTTTTTAAAGAGCCCTCAAAAGCAAGTGCCATAGATGGCCGCTTCCAGTGATGATTTGTTCTTCCCTGGCTCCTGCAAAAAGATAGTCTCAATCTGGCCGGGCGCGGTGGCTCAAGCCTGTAATCCCAGCACTTTGGGAGGCCAAGGCGGGTGGATCACGAGGTCAAGAGATCGAGACCATCCTGGTCAACATGGTGAAACCCCGTCTCAACTAAAAATACAAAAAATGAGCTGGGCATGGTGGTGCGTGCCTGTAATCCCAGCTACTCAGGAGGCTGAGGCAGGAGAATTGCCTGAACCCAGGAGGTGGAGGTTGCGGTGAGCCGAGATCGTGCCATTGCACTCCAGCCTGGGTAACAAGAGCGAAACTCCGTCCCCCCCCAAAAAAAAAAAAAAAAAGATAGTCTCAATCTTTTTGGGTCTCACTTCTGCAAGTTGGAGTTAATACTTGCCCTATCTTTTGTTGAGGAACCCTCGAGATAGTTATAAAAAGTATTTTGAATAGTGTAAAGTGATAGGTTTAATGTAAATGTTTTATTTCTTCAGTACCCTCTAGGCTAATTCGTTTGCAGTTCATGTTACAACAGCTGCTTAATAAGTGGTTTTTGGTGGCTCATGCCTATAATCCCAGCACTTTGGGAGGCCAAGACAGGTGGATCACTTGAGGTCAAGAGGTCAAGACCATCCTGGCCAACATGTTGAAACCCAGTCTCTACTAAAAATACAAAAATTAGCTGAGTGTGGTGGACTCAGCTGAGCTGGGACACCTGTAATCCCAGCTACTAGGGAGACTGAAGCAGGCGAATTACTTTATATTTTAACCTGGGAGGTGGAGGTTGCAGTGAGCCAAGATCAAGTAATTGTATGCCAGCGTGGGCAACAAAAAAATAAAAAAGAATGTGGTGAGCCAGTCATGGTGGCTCACACCTGCCATCCCAGCACTGTGGGAGGCTGAGGCAGGAGGATTGCTTGAGCCCAGGAGTTTTGAGACAAGTTTGGGCAACATAGTGGGACCCTGTTTACGCAAAAGAATTCTAAAAAATTAGCTGGACAATTTTTCTGAAATCTGAAATGCCGCAAAGTCTGAACTGTTCCAAAAATTGAGTGGTAATATGACACTCAAAGGAAATACTTATTCATTGGAGCATTTCTGATTTAGAGTAAGGGACATTCAGTTGGTAAGTATACTGCAACTATTCCACAATCCAAAACGTCTGTCTCAAGCATTTCAGATGAGGTATGCTCATTTTGAATAGTAATTTTTGTGGAAAGGTCCTGTAAAACTAAGCCATTTATTGCTTAAATCTTTATTGAGTGCTAAGTGGATACCAGGCATCCAGGCACGGAAGAAGGGGGTTGATAATCGCAGGAAATATTTGTAAACATAATGTGCAAAGCAGTTAACTGATTATGACTTCAGAGTCTGGGAGTAACTTCTGGTTTGAGGTAGCTTTTTAGCTGAGTCTGGGTTTTTTCGTTTTGAGACAGAGTTACTCTGTTGCCCAGGCTGGAGTGTAGTGGTGTGATCTTGGCTCACTGTAACCTCCATCTCCCAGGTTCAAGCGATTCTTCTGCTTCAGCCTCCCCACTAGCTGGGATTACAGGCGTGCACTACCATGCTCGGCTAATTTTTTTTTTTTTTTTTAATAGATGGAATTTCACTTTTGTTGCCCAGGCTGGAGTGCAGTGGCATAATCTCAGCTCACTGCAACCTCTGCCTCCCAGGTTCAAGCAATTCTCCTGTCTCAGCTTCCCAAGTAGCTGGGATTACAGGCACATGCCACCACAGCCAGCTAATTTTTGTATTTTTAGTAGAGACGGAGGTCTCATCATATTGGTCAGACTGGTCTCAAAGTCCTGACCTCAGGTGATCCACCTGCCTCGACTTCCCAAAGTACTGGGAATACAGGCATGAGCCACTGCGCCTGGCTAGCTGAATCTTGATAAAGTTTGAGCCATAGTCTCATTTAGAGCACAGGGAAACATGAGAGCAAAGTCCATAAAACCCACAATTTAAGGAAAGAATAATGTAATGTGACTGGATTGTACTGGAATCCAGATGCAACCAGGAAAATGAATTGGGGCCAGATCTTGGAAAGTATTGAATGCCATGTTCGAGAGTTTGAATTTTTGCTTGTAGTAGCAAGGAACATCGTAGAATTTGTAGGATAGGCTTAAACCTGAAATAATCTGGAAGCACAACCTCAAATAATGGAGGCAAGGATTAAAATTATCCACTGTTAAAAAGAAATTTGGATTTTCTTCCTTTCTTTTTTCTTTTCGAGATGGAGTCTTGCTCTGTCACCCAGGCTGGAGTGTGGTGGCGCAGTCTGCTCATTGCAACCTCCACCTCCCGGGTTCAAGTGATTCTCCTGCCTCAGCCTCCCAAGTAGCTGGGACTACAGGTGCTTGCCACCACACCCAGCTAATTTCTATTTATTTATTTAGTATTTTTAGTAGAGACAGGGTTTTACTGTGTTAGCCAGTCTGATCTGGATCTCCTGACTATGTGATCTACCTGCCTCAGCCTCGAAAAGTGCTGGGATTACAGGTGTGAGCCACTGCGCCTGGCCTGGATTTTCTTTTTCTTTTTTTTTTTTTTTTTTTTTTTAAATGTGTTTTATATGGTCTTCTTCCAAAGAAAATCATGTCTACTTTCTTATTTTTCTCCCTTGGATACCATGTTTAGATTCTTAGACTTCTTAGTCCTACCACCCTCAAAATTGTATCTTTCCATTTGTTCACATTGTCATACAGGAGGCAGAGGTTTATCAAAGACCTTCTGTTCTCTTGAGCATTGTCCTCATACTTGTTCTTTCTTGTTTCAAGTCTTTGCAGTTCTTGTCCTTGTATTGACCCTGGCTTGAGGAATAATACATTTTAAAATGAAGTGGGGCTGGGCTCGGTGGCTCATGCCTATAAATCCCAGCACTTTGGGAGGCTGAGGCAGGCGGATCACCTGAGGTCAGGAGTTCAAGACCAGCCTAGCCAACATGGCGAAACCCCGTCTCTACTAAAAATACAAAAAATTAGCTGGGTGTGGTGGTGGGTGCCTGTAATCCCAGCTACGTGGGAGGCTGAGGCAGGAGAATTGCTTGAACCCGCGAGGCGGGGGTTGCAGTCCGCCAACATTGTGCCATTGCACTCCAGCCTGAGCAACAAAGTGAGACTCCAACTCAAAATAAAGTGAAAATTTCAGGAATCTAAAATATGAACTACATAGCACTCCCTTTTTTTTATTTTTTTTTTTTTTTTTTTTTTTTAGATGGTTTCTTACTCTGTTTCCCAGCCTGGAGTGCAATGGCACAATCTCAGGTCACAGCAACCTCCATTTCCCTGGGTTCAAGCGATTTTCCTGCCTTAACCTCTGGAGTGGCTGGGATTACAGGCACATGCCACCTCGCCCGGCTAATTTATATTTTTAGTAAAGATGGTTTTTCCATGTTGGCTAGGCTAGTCTCAAACTCCTGACCTCGGGTGATCCACCTGCCTCAGCCTCCCAAAGTGTGGGATTACAGACGGGAGCCACCATGCCTGACCCCTTTTTTTTTTTTTTTTTTTTTTTAAAAAAAGACTGGGTTTTGTTATGTTACCCAGGCTGGGCTCAAGTGATCTTCCCACCTTGGCCTCCCAAAGTGCTGGCATTTCAGGCATGAGCCACCATCCCTGACCCATAGCACTCTTAAAGCATTGCTAATCATACATTGTTCCAGTATTTAGGCTGAAAGTTAGGGAGTTTATGTGTGGAACCACTTGAATTCATGTCAGTTCCTGGCCTGTACTGTCACTTGTTACGACTTTATTGTTATCTTTGATTTTGATTTTTACCACCTTATCAGTTAGGTATTTGATGTTTATATTGAAAAAGTACAGATCCTGAATGACTTCTCAAGGTTATAGTCACATAGCTAGTGAGAATCAAAGTGGCATTATTAATGCCTCCCACCGTTAAAAAAAAATACATGGTTATAACAAAGTATACACTTGAATAATTTGAGTTGGGGGAGATGGTTACAGCTTTCTCTCTTTTTAAATGAGGAGGTTAAAAACAAAGAACTTGAAAACCACATCCTTTCAGATTCTTTGTTGTTTCTAGGTGTAATTTGTGTAGTAATTTGTGTTTCCTGGGCTCCCTTTAATAGTGTTAGCAAATTTGGTTTGTGATTACCTTAACTCAATATTCCCCCACACCGAGTTGCCTCTTAGGATCAGAAAATTCTTTTCTAAACCCTGACCATCACTTCTATTAAATCTCAGTTCTTTCCCTGGTCGGTGTCACGCTGTGAACATAGTAATGGTTTCTGATGCCCTCTTTCCCAGAGTTTTTGTTTCTTTTTTTGTTTAAGATAAATTACCCAAGCTTCCCCGGGGGTTTTTTTGGAGACAGGATTTTGCCGTGTTGCTCAGGCTAGTCTCCTGGGATCAAGGGATCCTCCACCTCAGCCTCTAGAGTAGCTGGGATTACTGGCACTTGCCACCACTTCCGGCTCCAGAGATGCTTTTTTAAAGTCCCATATGGGACAAGAGCTTCCTTGTTAGAAGGCCTTGGGCAGTGTGAGACTCAGCCCTTAATACCCTAGTTTGTGAAATTGTAAAATTTAAAGGAGATAAAAAATAGCCCCTGTTAGGTAAATGGAGGATTTTTTTTTTTTTTTTTTTTTTTTTTTTTTTTGTAAATTGTACTAGTTAACCATCCAGCAAACTGCAGATCTTGTGTTCATTGCCACAGGAGAAGAAGTAAAGGGAACTCGGGCTGGTTTATGCCAAAGTAGCTGTTCTTTTATGCATTGTTGAAATAGTGGCAATAGAACATACTGTCTTTGAAGCCACGGGGGAGTGCTTTGTACAGTATAAACATTTTGCTTATTTATGTGGGGGGAAGGAGAGATTGAGACCTACATGCCAAAGGGAGTATCTAAAGTCTAGTCAGAAGATCTTTGTCTATTCCCACTTCTGAAGAAAGTTTGAAGAAATGAGATGATAAAGTAAAAGCTCAAGATTGTTTCTTTTTTATTAGAGCAAATTTTTCAGAACATAAAACAAGAATATAGTCGTTACCAGAGGTGGAGACATTTAGAAGTTGTTCTTAATCAGAGTGAAGCTTGTGCCTCGGAAAGTCAACCTCACTCCTCAGCACTCACAGCACCTAGCTCTCCAGGTAAGCCTGCTTTAATCTGCAAAATCCACTTAAGAATTTGTAAATGGTACTTATAATGACGAAT